TCTCGAGAACCACGGGATTATGGAGAAAATTTTATTTTTCTTTACAAACACTCAGTAATTCCTATAGTTATTTTCAGTACTTTAATATGCCTAATGCTGTTCATTATTATTTCTAAGTTTTCCTAAATGCATTCACACTGGTATTCGAATAATGATCAAACTTATACAAAGTTATGAAAGTTGCGTGGTCTTTGGCGACTACTGTACCATAGGGGCCAGACTTTCAGTTTTCGAAGCAATAACTTCATAAGTACACAGCGCTCGCTACAAGGACCGAGTTATCCAGCCACGGTGGCACTGTCTAGTAGATAATATGAGAAGCGCTGTCGGCAAACTTGAAATTGTCGTCAAAAAATGCCTCAACTGTCGATATACTCATCGCAACAAACGATGGAATGCTTTACTAACCTAGTAGATAAGCGCAATACTGTGATATACAAGTAAAATTGCTTACAACGAAGCAGACCTTCGCGATACCCACTTTACTCCCCTATTTTCGCAAGCAACAATTTTACATCGGATGTCAAGGTATAGACGGCTAGAGGCGGATAAGAAGAAGAGAGTGATGAAGCTGAACGGCAATTTACGCATCCCAGGCATGGTAGGACTCCCAGCTTTACACGAACGAATTTTTAACAAAAGAGCCATAAAATTCACCGAACGGAGGGTTCCGTGAAGATAACACTAGAGATTAATTATGAGCTGACCTTCGGTACTAAGAAGAACAGAAGGATATTTGTAGTCGACCATCTTGGAAATTACAACTATTACGTAGAGCGAAATAACCAAAAGAGTCGGCTGGTTTACCGTGGGGAAAATAAGAGTTAGGTCTGAGGGGAATTAAACCAATTCGCTCCCCCCCTCCACTCCTGCCCCACTCCAACTTCCGCTGATGACAGGAAGTACTGGTAAAGTAGATAGGAAAAAATAAAAAGGCCACCCGAATTGAAGAAAGAAGCAATGGCACAAACACGAACACTGCTAAAAAGTCGACTTAAGAAATGCAGGGAAAATGAAAAAAAATATACTAGGCAACTCTCCTCCGGGTAGTTTAATCCGTCGAAGATAGCCTTCAGCGAACAAACCAGGAAGGCACTACCCAGAGG